GGGGGGGGGCGCCAAGGGAGTCACAATATACAAATGGGACAACAGGAACTATGAGCAAGGTGTCGGTGCCTGTCCTATATCGCAGGTTATAGAGAACCTGGAAGGGGGGAACCTGGACAAGCAAGAGTAGGAAAATGAATGTAAGAATGTGTTGCACACCTTTGTAAGCCACCTTTCTCATCTCTGAATATAGAAAGAGATGGAAGAATCTTTGCCCTTAAAACGAATGTAGTTGCATCATCTGTTATCCAGACAACTGGAGTAATCCATTAGTCATTAAAGACACATCTATACATAATGAGTCTCTTACTGCAAGACTTTTTCTCAATCACCATTAATATTTTAGACCCATTAACCTGAAATTTTATCAAAGTTTGTTTGTGTTTGTTTCCAGGTTCCTGTCCCACCAATTTTGGGCTTTTATCAAGTGAAAGAGGAGGAAGTACACCTAAAAATAACAGTTAATTTAAAACTTCATGAAAGTGTAAAAAATAATTTTGAATTCTGTGAAGCTCATATACCGTTTTACAATAGGTAGGAATAAAATAACATGATTGTTGCCTGCCTTAGTATGTTTCCACTGCCCTACAATAAATTACCTGTCTTTGTTTTTTCCCTTCTTTTTAAGATTTTTTTAATGTTATTCAAATGAGTGCTGATTCTGAACTAAAACATAATCATAAAATAATCTCTTTATCTTTTAAATGTATCTTTATTTTTCTTGTTAAACTTGCTAATATAAACTTAAGCCAGTGTAGCTTTCTCAGGAATTATCTTACTCCTGGCTTTATTTCTAGCAGTTTCTCTGTACTCTACATACAAGTCAAGCCCAACTAGCAACTATATGGTGAATTAAGTCAATCGTTACAGTGGAACAAGCAAGGGTTAGGACACTTACCCCTGCACAGTAGAAAATCCACATATAGCTTTTGACTCCTCAAAAACTTAACTATAATCAGCCCTCCACACCTGTGGCTTCCCAACCATGGACTGAAAAGGTTGACCCTTGGACAGCATGGGTGCAAACTGTAGGGACCTGTGTTATTCACGGGTCAATTGTACTTCCTCATCACTTCTACTTTTGAACTCGTCTCTACAACATAGTTCTTTTCAAAGGGTATCTAAATGTATAGTAAAATTATAGTTTTAATGTTATATCAATCCATGTGACTATTAATATATGTTTTATATGATTTTATAGTTGTCTTTAGAATTAACAATGAAATGCATATCATCAAATGTGTTCATTGTGTTTCTGGAGTTTTTTTGAGATATATTATTTGTTCTATTCTACTCTGCAAACTTGAATATAGAAGTGTTTCTATGCTTTCCTTGTATCAAGTAACAGTAGCAAGATTTGACTTAGATTCTGTAAAGATGTTATATCTGTAATCATTTTTTTTTTGTATTGTGTCCTTTTTTAAAGAGGTCCAATCACACATGTGGAATACAAAATTAGTTTTGGCCAGCTCGAAGTATTTCGAGAGAAAAGCTTATTGATCTGGACTATTGGTGAGCCAGCTTTTGTTTATTCATTATTTTTCATTCATTTGCTATAGAATCTGTTTAATTTAGGATATTTGATTGGTATATTTTTGTTTTTAGGACAGAAGTTCCCAAAATCAATGGAAATTAGTCTTTCTGGAACTGTAACTTTTGGAGGAAAAAGCCATGAGAAGCAGCCATTTGATCACATTTGCATTGGGGGTACAGCATATTTAAAGGTAAATATATTTGTATGGCTCACCACATTAGAAACCTTTCCTTTGTTTCTAAATTGCATATATCTAATTGATTTTTAATGTTTTCTAGCCATTTTTTAAAACTCTTGGGTTTTTGTCTATGCTGTCCTGTTTTGATTTTTGTGAGATTCTTTTTGTTTAGTGTTAGTTACTTTTTATTTCACTCAGTACTTTAAAATATTTAAGGTGGAACAGGTAAGTATGACCTAAACACTTCAACTCAGTCTAGTTCTGCCCAGCTGTAGTTATCACATTTGAGATTTGTATACCAAAAATGTAAGGTGTAGTCCTGTTCCCCTAGGGATTTTTTTTCAGTGATCCATGTCAGCAGTTGATCCATGCTAACTGCTTTTGGTGTTTCGAGGAAAGATTGATCACTTCTGATCAAAGTGCTCAAGGAAAGTGCTGGAATAGAGATGGAATTTAAGCAAAACTCTGAGGCTCAGATATGCTTGAATATGACGCCATGAAGATTGACTAACATTTGTTTAGGTTAAAGAGATAACATAATCAGAGGAATGAAGGATAACAAAGCATTCTTCAGAACCAGTACCAGGAACAATAGTAACACATAAGGCTGGATAAATGGTTTAGGTCTGGATTGTAGAGGGTTTGAATCTAACTTTTATTCCTGTGTTAGAAATTGTCATAATAACTATAGGCAAATAAAATATTCTTCAGCTCTATTAGTATCCCAGATGTAAGGTAATAAGTTAATGATGCTGAGCTTCTGTAGTGTCACAAAAAGAGGAAGGAAGAGAATAAAAGGAGGAGACTGTATAGGAGTTCTAACAAAGGTAAAGCATTGGTCACTAATTAAATATAGAGACAGGAAAAGTCACAGATGGTGTTATTAAAAAAGTATGTAACTTAAACCAGACTTGAAACTCCAAGAGAGCGGAGACCATGTGAGTCTCATTCATTCATTGTTTTACTACCAACATCTAGTCCAGTGCCTACCACATAAATTTTTATGAATGGATCAATATAGTACTCAGAAGAAAATACCCATGTGGAGAAAGCTGAGAGGGAGTAGGCTTCATATCATGTACGTTGCTTGTAATAGCAGCATATCCCAGTATAAGTGTCCGCTAAGTAGCTAAAAACTTGGAGCTTGATTCTCAAGAGAGAGCTCAGCTCTGTGTAGGGTTTAGGAGTTATCCACGGAGAAGAAATAGTTGAGGCAATGGAAATAAGATCAGAAAAAGATAAGAGAAAATAAGGAAGATTCGGAAAAACCAATGAAGGAAATTGAAGAGGTGATAAAAAACGTAGCAGGAAAACCTAAATAGTATGGTATCAAGGAAGAGAGACTTAAGTCTATACATAAATGCACTAGGGGAGATGGTTGTGACGTTAGAAGTACACTCATGATGTTCATTTCTTCTCTCTTGGTTTCAACTGTGTACACAAGCTTTGTTTCAAGGATTATGATAAAAATTCCTGCTTTCAGATATGTTTCAGAAAAAATGTGGCATATTACTACACTGTATGTCTTTCAAAGGTAGGGATTTGACCTTTCATTTCTATCACCTAACCAGTTACAGTTTAATCGAAAGCATGTACTACATATTTGTGTTCAGTGAATAGACTTATTTTTATAATATGTAGTTTTTTGGAAATCAACCTTGTCATAACTTTCAGCATCCAGAATTATACTTAACAAGCAAACAAAAACCCTTTACTATTGAGATAATTTGAGTTGCAACAGGAAAAAAGTTGCAAAGACCTGAAAATTACATTCTATGCAAGTGATCAGTTAGTTTGGTAATCAAAGGGAGAAAGTTAGGAAATGGGAGAAATTTGCAGGGAAGGAAGGGAGATGGAAGAAAAAAAAGTATAGAAAAGGTAGGTATCAGGATATTGTAAAATCAGGAGCTCTTAGCAGCAAGATGAAGTGAACCACAGCCAAAGGAGACTGGAGCTCTGTAAGATATAGAACTTTCATAGTTAATGTGAATATCATTGTGACTCAGGCACCCAAGGCTATGCTTTCAGAGAAGGTACTAATGGCCCTTTCTATTATATATAGTCCAACATAATAATGGCTATACTGATGACACCACATTATCAATTAAATCTCGGAACTATGGATTACATTTTAGAAAGGTTTCATAGGCGAGAGAAGGGTGATTTCTAAGCTTAGTTATGTAAAAGTTAAATTTTATTTTTTTGGAAAATTAAGTAGAGCATCTCATTTCTTCTAAACACCAGAATAAACTGGTAGGTGTTTCTCTTTTAGTAACTGCATTCTTGTGTTTTGGTAGGAGCTGTATATGTTTCTGCCTGTAGAAGAATTATGACCTGAATTATCACAACCACATAGTCTTAGGGATAGACGAGAATATCCAGGACAGCAGACACCATAGGGGAAGGAGCACCAGCTTTTATAATCAGTCAGGTCTGAGTTTAATGCCAGCTCTGCTATTTACATGCTGGGATGCTAATTGCTTCCATCTCTGAACTTCAGTTCCCTCATTCATACAATAGGGATACCTTGCAGTATGGATTAGAGTTCATATTAGTGAAGCACCTGGTAGATGTGAAGGACTTCATGATGCCAGCCTTCCAAAGAAATCGCCCTAATGCAAAGGGGAAACGGTGTGTGTATATGTGTACATATGCACACACACAATATTCAGGTTTAATATTTGTGACTTAAATTTTGTGAAGTAAATTCCTAAAATTGCATCAAGGGGGAAAATGTGACAATCATTTTTACCAAAGAATCACCTCAGTTTGATACATTTCTCTTCGTTTTCTAGCTTCATTTTAAGATCTTAGATTACACACTTACTGGATGTTACGCGGATCAGCATTCAGTTCAAGTTTTTGCATCAGGAAAGCCAAAAATAAGTACATGTAAGTTGTCATAGATTCATACTAACTTGAGGGAATGAAAATGATGTTATGCAGTTATTACCTAAGGTAAAATTAAAATGTAACAGAAAGGGATCGGAGAATAATCCCAATTTATAAAAATTCTGGCCTGATCCTATTCTGTATAACAGTTTATATACTTTACACTGCCCTCTGCCTTCTGTTTGTGAAATTGTCTGGATGAGCTAGGACTGGCAGAGATGGGCTTTAGTATAAAGTTGGATTTATTTTGCTCTGTTTATAATGTACACATATTTGGGGGTTGTTCACAGGGGCTTTGGTGTTGGACAGACAAGGGTTTAAGTCTAGCTCAGACAGTTTGTTATCTGTGTAATTTTAGGCAAGTTAGTGAACTTGTTTCCTCATCTGTAAAATGGAAATAATAGTGTTATATACCTCAGGATTGTTTTGAGGTTTAAATAAAATTATATTGACCAAGCACTTAGCATGATGCTTAGCATGTAGCATGGATTCTATAAATGTTAGATATGATTATTTAAAATTTTAAATATTTCTAGCAAACATTGTAGTCAATGAACATTATTTAATACACTCTCTGTTTTATGAATTGGAGGGCAATAGGAAGAAGGTTTCCTGCCTTTGGTGAGTTAGTTAGCTGTAAAAAGAAATATGTATATAGTATATATGAAAATATAGGGAGACAAAAAGCAATTTATAAGTGAATCCAAAATTATTTAATTCAGATCAAATACACATATGTGGCATAGAACAGAAAAATAGCTAGAATGAGGTAGAGTTCTCTAAACATAAGCAGATACCTTTTGCTTCATATATTAAGGAGAATAAAGCTGTTATATTTAGGTAAATATATTTTTTAAAATATATCATTTATTGATTTCAGAGAGAGGAAGGGAAAGGGAGAAAGAGAGGTAGAAATATCAATGATGAGACAGTTGTCACTGATCAGCTGCCTCCTGCACACCCCCAGCTGGGGATCGAGTCCGCAACCCAGGCATGTGCCCTGACCGGGAATCGAACCGCGATCTCCGGATCCTAGGTCGATGCTCAACTGCTGAGCCATGCCTGGCTGAGCTAGATAAGTATTTTTTTAAGCTAAGGATTAGGGTCCTTAAAATCGGAAAGATAGGACAGGACTTCTTACTGATAGTTTCAAAAGAATTATAGAACTCAGAACTACAGTGTTCTAAGCAATTACTTGTGAAGGGCAATGTTACCTCTCAATGTTACTAAGTTCCCAAATTTGAAAAAAATAAATAAAAAGTTAAGGTAATATATCCCTATATCCTTTTACTATGAAGAAGGGCATGAAAAGGAAAGGTAGAAAAGGCAGAATTAGATATTTATTGATGTATGTGAAAATAAGACTTTACATGTATCCAGCTCCAAATGAGCATTGTCTTCATTTTTACATATCAGAAAACTTCAAAGAGGGCTGTCATTTGTCCAAAGCTGCAAAGCTACTAAAGCTAAAAACTTAGATTTGATCTGAACTCTAAGAAACCACCTAAGCAGTCTTTTAAACAACATTGCTAGAAAGTTGGGTATTTATTTCTATCTCTGAAACTTTGAATGGGTAGAGAATAATTGCAAGGTCAAAATCAGGACCTTGGTAAAGAGGTTACAAAAGGGAAACCAATAAAAAAAATTTTACTGTTTTTGTGCTTGAAGTAATGGTCCATATTTAGGGGAAATGTGAGGGGGAAAAATTGGTCGATTTGGCATAAATGGTGGGTTCCTTAAATATATTAATGAATTCATAATTTTAAAGTGGTAATAGTTATAATAATGCCTTGAAAACGTCAAATTAAAAAGAATATTTTCAAATATTGCCTTCCTTGAAATAATTGTGTTCCACAATTTTAAAATATCAATTTCTTAACTGAATTTTTGTTAATATAATATAGTCTTATCATTTTTTTCATTTTTCAGACCGGAAACTAATTTCTTCTGACTATTACATCTGGAATTCTAAAGCTCCTGCTCCAGTAACATATGGATCATTATTACTGTAATTATCTCATGTTTAAATAGAATTTATATAATAGCAACATAGCCTAAATTAAATCAGAGTCTTTTATTTTTAAGGTGTATGCATCTAACCTATGAGAAATCATTAAATGATTTAATTATAAAAATGCTTGTTTGTTGTTTTTAGTCTGAAATAATTTGCGGGGAAAAAGCATTTTAAAGACTGATGTCTCCAACTTTGTTACCCTTTGATTTTACTCAAATATGATTCAGAGCATAAACCAGTAGTGATTCATTTTAGGCTTATTTTATATTAGTCCTGGGTCACCCTGCCATACATGTTCCTTCCTGCGCCTGTGGCAGACGTGGCTAATCAAGCAGTGTCCTCTTTCTGCATTGAGCTTCCTGCACACAGTCCCAGGCTCTTCTTCAGTGCAGAGCTGCAGGCAGCCACTCCTGATGGATTGCGAATGATGTACAAGATAAGAAACTGTGTGCTCTTCCGAACCTGAATACTAAACTCCTAGTGCATTGTGTTGTTATAGAATACCAGAGACCACGTTAGAAACAACTGTAAATCTCTTGAAAAAACAGCCAAGAAAAACAAAGGAAAATTGTTTAAATAGTAAACTGTTCTTAATCAGAACTATTTGACTTAATAAAGAACCTGCCTAATTCTATGTAAGGTGTTTATCTCTGTTCTAGAGTTACTTTTCAGGTAAGCTTATTAATCTGCCACAGTGACAATTTGCTTTAGGGTGTCAGTGAGAATAGTAAGAGGGATGGTATGTCTTCAGAAGGTGAGCAGAGTGTTTTGTGTTCACTTAACATGTGTAGCCAAATTTTTAAAGATAAATTTAGGTATAATGCTGCTTTTTTCATGTTTTGTTATTATTAAGTTCATTAATGAGTACATTCAAGTGAAAACTCATGTAGCATATTTTCTTTAAATGTGCCACTCTCACTCTTATTATTGTCTTGGTTTCCTCAGGAACCATCTAGTCATGCTCTTTATTCTTTACCTGTCATGACAATTATATGTCTCGTTCTGTTTTCAAAGCAGTTCATTGTCAAGTTGGACTTTAGGTGGCCATCCAAGAAAAGATGAAATATCAAGATCCTCAAAACTTAATCCATGTCAAGTTTCTTTTCACAGAACAGAATTAGAAGCGTTATGAAAAATATACATTAAAGATTAGTATTCAATTAAGTTATATCTTGGTTTCTATTTTTTAATGAGCCTCCTAAGGAAAAGCTTAGAAAAGGCTGCTAACTCCTTGAGGGAGTTATGATAGTTTGCAAGGATATTGCATATAAATTTAGGATTTGAAATAAGATTTTTTAATTAAGGTCAATCCTACTCATTATAAACTCATTTTCTGCAAGGCATTATCATGGCATAATGTTCTGCGTTCAAAATGATTCCAGGTAACAAAGGAAACAATAACTAACTGCCTGACCAGGACTTTAACTTGTTAGTCTAGCTTAATCAATAGATAATCAGTAGTAAAAACCTTCCTTTTGAAAGAATAAAAAAATTTCTCCCCTTTAGTTATTTGATCTCTCTTAAACTCAAGGAAAGCTTATCATTTAACTTATGTTAATATTAATGGAGCCATTTGGACACCTTGATTGTATAAATGTTTAGCAAAGTACACTAAGCTAGGCAAAAGGCATTTAACTGGTGACTAGGCAGAGATTCAGTATGATGATCCTCTAGGACAGGAGTGGGGAACATCTGGCCCTGCCAAGGCCTCACCAAAGAGAAGCAGTCCCAGCCATCACATTAGGGGTGAGTTAATTAAATGTTTGACCAAATGTAGCAGCTAATTTTTAAGTTGATAATTTTGTATGGCCCTTGAATGATGGCCATACAAATGGCCCTTGGCAGAAAAAAGGTTTCCCGACCCCTGCCCTAGGGAAAACTTTATAAACAATCAGAAAAACCAATGAATCTTTGATTTGATACTTCTAGAAACCTAAGGAAAATCTAGGGAATACTGGAAAAGTGTCCGGGGCATGGGCAACCCGAGGCCATCTGTTGCCGTTCCATTCTAACATAGCGCCACAGAACTAAAACCAACTCATGTTTTCATCCCTTTGAGATCAGCTGGACACATTGTGATGCTTTTGATTTTGTCTAGAAACCTGTCACTTCGGGATAATTTCTGAAGACAAAGTCTGTTTCCCGTTTGGTAGGTGACCTGTTTAATGTTTTCCCTGTGTCTGGGAACTCCTTAGTGTAATTAGCGACCTTTGAACTCCACAACTAATCCTGAGCTATTTTGTATTCCTTACTCATCTTTAAGGCTGGACCTTTCTTTTCTTCAGAGTCCGCTGCCACAATTAAAGAAGAAACAGCTGCATTTCAAAGGGATTCCGATTCCAGAAGCTTAATCGTGATTGACATGTTCTTATTCTAAGCTATAAGACACTCTTAAGAGTCCTTTCTTGGGTTAAAACTTCAATCATTTTCTAAAAAATTATCTCACTATGGATTTTATTCATTTTCTTTGATAACTATTATTTGCATTTTTTAACTTGAAAGATGCTTTACATTTGCAGTGAATATGAGCATCCAAAGATTTGGATGGTGTCAGACCTACTCTAGATGCAAAATTGCTAACTGCCCTTTTAGCCCCAAAATATGATTATAAGATCTGTTGTCTATCAGACGGGTAATTATTCTTCAGTAGACCCAAAAGGTACAAAAAGTGTTAAATTTCTGAATATGTGCTCCAGAAAAGATGGTTCATAATTTTGGTAAAACCTTCTCTAAACAATATTTTTTTAAACTTTTTAAAGCAGCAGTACCCTTACAGAGGTGGGCATTTTTTTTTCTTTTTTAAATAATTTTTTCCAATATCAGGTTGGAAGTAAATAACCTTGTCAGGAATTCTTACAAGAATTATTTGTTTTAAAATGTTTTCTTGATTAAACAGTCTCATAAAATTTCAGTGTTCTACACCAACTAAATTTTTATAAGCTAAAATTATTCTGATTTCATGTATTGTGTGATTTAAGGTCTCTCAAAACACAACTTTATACATAATAACAGCTAATATTCTTCTTTTTTTTATTATAGTATTTCAAACCACTTTATAACCTTCATAGACCCCTGCACCACTCCTGGGAGGTAGGCAGGTCGAGTTTTCATACAGAGCCTCTGCAGGGCCGGCTGCCGCAGCAGAACGGTTGTTTCTAAGACAAAAGTCAGAAAAGGGATGTTAATAAACAGTCCTCAGGTTTAAGGGACTTTTTTAGGATTACATCTTAAATTCCAACAAATCAGATTTAGGAGTTACTGAAAGTGAAATTGATCCATCCCTCATCCAAACTTTGCAATACTTTCCTGTTCTGACATCATTTAGATAGTTAGCTGTGTTATCAGATTAGAAACCATTGTACCGCGCCGCTGAAAGGGAAAGGAGGCAAGAAGCTAAACAGAGGGTGAATTCTGAACCTTTTAACCTGGCTGAAGTACGTCGGTCCCTGTTATGCAAATACCTTCAATCCTCCGCTAAGTTCAGTGGAAATAATTTTCTTGAATGACAGGTTTATTCAGCAAGGATTCAGTTGGTGATTAATCCCCCTTTGATCTAGGGTATTTCACTTAACGACCAGTTACCTCGTTCTGACAAAGTGCAACTGAGATTAGGGAGCTCACGAGAACACTACCAGGGTGTGTGTTCATTCTCTAGCCTTTTAAAGTGAGGGCCAAGAATGCAATTTATTTTCAGTATTTGAAGATGTAAAGTCCTCTCTGCTAAGTTAGAAAGTCAATTGAATACCAAATGAAGTTTATTTCTTACGTAATAGAATAAACTTTTTTTTTTTTTTGCTTTGCCTAACAATGATTTTAGGAAACATAGGCTTTGAAGAAAGAAGAAACAAAGACTGCATTCTAAGTATATCTTCTAGTTTTGTTTCATGTACTACAGTGTATACTTACTGGCCCTGAGATAACCCAAAAATGAAAGCAGTGGCTTCAACTTAGGTTGAGAAAATGCTTCTGTTTCATTAAATTGCATGGTTTCTTCCCTCCCTCCTCCCATTAGGAAAAGTCATGCTATGGGCTAAATCCAATTGGGGAAAACATAATACACAAGTATTCATATTAAGACTTCTGATTTCAAAGCTTTATTTATTAGCTTTGTCCTTTGTTGAGCAAAGCAACTTATGTCCCTATCATAAGAATAATTGCTTTCATTTTCGTAATGAAGATTCTTGTTCATTAAGAAAGGTAAATGATGCCATTACAAAAATACTTCTAAGTAATTATTTTAAATTATCAAAATAACCATTTTCCACTGTATTATTTACTATTTTTCTGCCTTCAAATAACTGTGTCCTCTTTTATATTAAAACTTGAAAATACTCTTTGGAATTTTGCACAATATTTTAAGAATAAAATTTTTAGATGTGTTTCATGCTAGGGTTTCTCAAGAAAAATGTTTAAAAACTTATCAGTGTCAATCTTTATTTTGCAGGATATCAAATTTGGGGACCTATTCCTCACATATAGTTCAAGACCCTTAAAAAATGATTTTTAAAAAGATTTGTTTTTAAATACTAAGTTATTAGTGATTAGTGTTATAAACAAAACATTTTTTAAATGATTTATAATTGTCCATTCTAGTTTGCAATACAAGTTACGTATTTACATAATTTTCTTATTCATATTTTGGGCTCAAAGTCTCTGTGACCCAATGTCTAAATTGAAACAATAACTCAAAAGAAGTACATGTCTAACTTATCTGGGTACCAGCCTCTCTAGTTTCAATTTAGTAACCAAACTGTTTCCAAATATCTTTTGATAGCAAGTTACATAATCACAGAAATTGAGGATCAGAAAAAATATAAGATGAAAGGCAGGATTCTCTGGCTATGTTGCTAAGAAACTAGTATTTTTAATAATTCACTATGAAGTAAATATTTAGTTAATAAAATGTTGCAATATATTTTGAAATATGCCATCAGAGAATCTATATAAAGCAAATGTACATGTATGTATATGTAATATATATAATACATGTTAGTGTGTGTGACTTGGTGGATTTTCTTATGAAATATTTTAGTATTGTGTCAGAGGAAGAACATTTAAAGTCAGATATTCAAATATCTTCCCTCCAAACACAATGTTAGTTAATAGTAATGAAGAGATTCATTAAAATAAAAATTATGTGAAGAACTCATGAGATCACTCTTACAAAATGATTAAAACTTGATAAGCTGAAGGTTTTTCAACTGGCTTCTACTTGATTTTCATCAATCATTTTATGGATATGATAATATTGTCCACACGTAGCCTGGAGCAGTGCGAGGCCTTATCTTTTGTATGACTAGTTGCTTTGTAAGCAGGTTACTCTGAGGTCCAGGTTGATTTCTCAAAGGCCCTGGCTAATCTGCATAATTGTTGGCAGTGTGGTTTTAATGTGTGATGCTCAGCATTTACAGATTGACGGATGCCCTGGGATGGAAACCACCTGCTGAATTGTTTTTCCAGTAAGAAATGTGAAAATTTATATTTTAATAATCTATTAAACATTTAAAATCAGTGTATGTTTCCTGTAAATGTCTTTTTAAATTATTGTTTTGTTTTAAAAAACTGGTTTAGACAGCACACTTTTAATAACAAAAATGAAAAATAAAAAATTGTTATTTTTTACTTTTTCTTCCA